GACCTGATTTGCATTTTAGAAAGAATTATTCTGGCATCTTTTGGGAAATTGGAATGTTCACATGGTTTTTAAGAGTATGAATTCTGTTGGCTGACAAAATGAGTTGGAATCCCTGCTTCCCTACTCACTAATTTTGTGAACTCGGGTAATTTATTTAACCTCTCTCACCTTCATATGCTTTTCTGCAAAATGGACTAATTATATGCTTACTCCATCAGGATATTGGAGGATTAAATAAATGTGATAATTCTCACAAAGCCTGACATATTGCAAACAAAATTAAGTAGGAGAAACTCAGGGACCTTACTGTGTTTGAAGGTCCTTGGGACCATACATCTCTACCTAGAAGGAGCTTACTCTTTTGGATTACTCTAGTACTCTTAGGAAGAATCAGAATCAATAATCTAGATTGACTGGCTGGTGAAATTAATTCTAGCAAAAGGAGGGAAATGAAAACACAAAGGAAAATAGAAATAAATGACAATAGCAATTGACAAAGAATTTATGATTATTTTTTTTTTGTCTAATGAAAAGAACCAGAAGTACATGAAAAAGATTTCAGAATATTTTAAATACAAAGATGCCAACTGAATGTAATACTGAGTGGAAGGTCATAAGGGAATGCACATAGTTAATCTGACCTTTCTCTGGGAAGCACTGTAGAATGAGTCAGTCACGGAATTGTGTAATTTATTTTTATGACTTACATTCAAGGGAAATGTTTAATGCAGGATAAATGTTCCATCTTTGTTATAGTTTGGACTGGAATGATGCCCCCAGAGGTTCATTTGTTGAAGTCTCATGTGTTGAAGGTCCTCAGTTAGAGGTGCTATTGGGGGGTAGTGGAAACTTTAGGAAGAGGGGCCTAGTTGAAAGAAGTAGGTCACTTGGGGTATGTCATTTAAGGGTATGTCTTGACCTCAGCTTCTGTCGTGCTCTCCCATATTCATTCTCTCTCTCTCTCTCTCTCTCTCTCTCTCTCTCTCTCTCTCTCTCTTTTTCTCCATCCTGACTGCCATGTGAGTGACTCTGCTTCTCCATGTCCTCTCTACTATGATGCTATGTCCCACCAAAAGTCCAGAAGCAACAAAATCAAATAATCAACTGTTGGATACTTCTGAAACTGTGAGTCAAAATAATCCCTTCCTCCTTTAATTTTTTTTTTCAGATATTCTGTCACAAGAACAGAAGCTAACAAAATTTTGAACATCTGAATCAGTATTTGTGTGTTCCCATCTCTACCCTCAGGAGCGTTTTCTCAAGGTGGGCATCCCAGAAATGTGGAAGTAGAAGGCTATGTTGCCATTGGAAACACTCCCATTCCTGGCCCTTCTCTATAGTGATTAATTTTCACCCCATTTAACAGATGTTAATGTTAAATGTCAAAGTCCCCTGGATGTTAAACTCCCCTGGACAATTTATAGGCATTTCTACCGCAAATATAAGAACTCGGCTGTCTTGTCATTGGAAGTTATTCCTGAAGAATCCAATTTTTAAATAATAATAAATTCAGATGGTTCTAGGAGACAAGAATGGACCCTTTTGAATACAGTAATGCAGATGTGTGTTACCTCTGCATATCACGGGTGGGCCAGCCTCCTGTTAGAACAGGAACTTCAAGATGAGTTTAGGCTCCTGGTAGTATAGGTATGTGTCTGCTTAGCAAGTGGTACCTCTTTGTCCATGGACCTCAGATTGGGTGGTGTGCCAGTTGGTTTGAACTGCTCACAGGATGTACTTCTTTCGAACATTGTGCAAACTAACATGCTTTGCACAGAGGGAAAAATCCCCCAATAGCGTGCCCATCACCCTGCACTGCTGGCCACATGACCTCTGGCAATCCACTTTGCCTCTTTAGCTTCAGGTTGTCATACCAAGGAAGGGGTTGAATGAGAAGGTGTCTAAATCCCATTCCAGTTTCAAATGCTGTTATTTGCCACTGCTCATAGATGCTTAAAAATCAAATAAAATTCTACATGTATTTTCTGAGAAATGTTTATCAGCTTCACAAAAAAATAAAATAAAATAAAATAAAAAAAAGGAAGCCTGGAATGAATAAACAAGACTGGCGATTTTACCGAAATACCAATATTTTAACTTGTTGAGGCTTGGGATTATGCAAACCAAATATATCCCTTGCAAAATTATGAAGAAAGTAGATTTTTATCAGATAGAGGAATGGGGGAAAATTATGCCTGTAAGATTAAATCTGGTCCACTGCCTGTTTGGTAACTGAAGTTTTACTGGAGCACAGCCACACTAATTCACTGCAAGGACTATGGCAACAGAGCAGCATGGTGGCCACAGAGACTATATGGCTTACAAAGCCTGGAATGTTTACTCTCTGGGCCTTTACAGAGAAAGTAAGCCAACCCTGCTATGGAAAGTCAAGGGGGTTCTCTTAATACACATTCATCTAGCTTCATTCTCCCAATAAGAGCAGTACAGTTTGGAGGCTCCTTTTTACTTGAGACCTGGATGTTGACCCTACTTTTTGTTTTATATTTTTATTGGTGCACTATAATTATAAGTAACAGTGGGATTCATCATACCATGTTTGTCAATGTGCATTACATACTTTGAACAATCCATTCATAGTATCTTCCCTTTCCCTTCCTTTTGTTTAAAATTAATTAATTAATTTTGGTACCAGGGATTGAATCCAGGGGTAATCAACCACTCAGCCACAACCTTAGCCTTTAATATTTTTTTTTTCTTTTTAAATTCTGAGATGGAGTCTCGCTAATTTGCTTAGGACCTTGCTAAGTTATTGAGGCTGGCTTTGAACTTGCGGTCCTCCTGCCTCCTGAGCCACTTATGCCACTGTACCCAGCTTCCCTCCCTTTCAATGGGTACAGTCCCTGGATCTACATTTAGATTTGCACTGCCTCTTCAGTGGCTTTGAAATATGACTCTACACAACAAATATTTTTTTTGGAATGATAGCAAAGGTGAACATTTAGGTTAGAGATGTTTTGGAGCAAGAGAAAGTTTGTACTCCTCTATGTAACTCCTAGCTGTGAGCTGCTCTGATGTGGCGGGCTAGCCTTGTGACAGGGGTGGGGGTGGGGGAAGAGATGGCTAATGTAAGGCACAACATCTACCACCCTGGGTGGGGTCCTGATTCCTTCTAACACTAGAGGGATTTCTCTGAAATTCAAATTTTTATCCATGACTTTTTTCCAATGGTTCTTTACAACGGACAGAATAAAGCTCACCCTTGTCAACAAAGCAAACGAAGCTTCCAGTATCATTGTTAATCTCTATGTAATCTTGAATTCTCTTTCCTCTGATCTTAAATTCCACGAGAACAGGTTTTGAGTGCAGTTTATGCTTTTGACCACCCCTCCCCCTTCTCTTACAATGAGGATGTTGAGGATGTCATGTGCTGGTCGTGGCAGGTTCAGACTTCTGCCCTGCTGATCTTCCCAGTGCCAGAGGCACAGGAGCAGAATATGCCTTCCAACATGTTTGTAGAGCAAATGAATGAATAAATAATTGCATGCTGCTTTGTAATAAAATGTAATGTTTTGTTTTGTTTTGTTTTTAAGAGAGAGAGAGAGAGAGAGAGAATTTTTATTTATTTTTTAGTTTTCGGCGGACACAACATCTTTGTTTGTATGTGGTGCTGAGAATCAAACCCAGGCCGCTCGCATGCCAGGTGAGCGCACTACCACTTGAGCCATATCCCCAGCCCCAATGTAATGTTTTAAAGTTTTTTTTTTGTTTTTTTTTTTTTAAAAAAGCAAGAAAACACCACCACCCAACCAACCCAACTTCAACTCAGACTGGATCAAGGACCTAGGAATTAGTCCAGAGATCCTGTACCCAATAGGGGAAAATGTAGGCCCAAATCTTTATCATGTCAGATTAGGCCCCAACTTCCTTAATAAGACTCCTAAAGTGCAAAAAATAAAATCAAGAATTAATAATGGATAGACTCAAACTAAAAAGCTTCTTCTCAGCAAAAGAAGCAATCATTGAGGTAAACAGAGAGCCTATATTTTGGGAGCAAATTTTTGCCACATGCACATCAGATAGAATGCTAATCTCCAAGATATATAAAAAACTCAAAAACTTTAACAGCAAAAAAACAAACAACCCAATCAATAAATGGGCTAACAGACACGTCTCAGAAGAAGATATATATTCAGTCAACAAATATATGAAAAAAAATGTTCAGCATCTCTAGTAATTAGAGAAATGCAAATCAAAACTATTGTAAGATTTCATCTCATGATAGTCAGAATGGTAGTTATTAAGAATACAGACAACAATAAATGTAGGCGAGGATGTGGGGGGAAAGGCACACACATACAATGCTGGTGGGACTGTAAATTGGTTCAACCCATCTGGAAAGCAGCATGGTGATACCTTAGAAAAGTTGGAATGGGACCACCATTTGACACAGCCATCCCACTCCTTGGTCTGTACTCAAAGGGCTTAAAATCAGCATACTGTAGTAACACAGCCAGATCAATGTTTATAGCAGCTCAATTCACAATAGCTAAACTATGGAAGCAACCTAGATACCCTTCAATAGATGAATGGATAAAGAAAATGTGATATATATATATATATATATATATATATATATATATATATACACACACATACACACACACACACACTGGAATATTACTCAGCAACAAAAGAGAATAAAATTATGGCATTTGCAGGTAAATGAATGGAGTTGGAGAACATCATGCTAAGAGAAGTAAGCCCATCCCCCAAAATACCAAAGACAGAATGATCTTTCTGATAAATGGAGGAACTTTGTTTGGGCAAAGGGGTATGGGGGCAAGGAAGATGATGGAATGAGATAGACATCATTACTCTAGGTACATGTTTGACTGCACATATGGTGCAACACTACATCATGTACAACCAGCAAAATGAAAAGCTGTGCTGCAATTGTGTACAATGAATCAAAATGCATTCTGCTGTTATACATACCTAATTAAAATAAATTAATAGTTAATTAAAAAGAAACACCAAAACAAAATTTGCATCCATCTTAAAGGACATGATCATATAGATAAGAGAAAATGGATTCTGATAAAGTTGGGTTCCAGTCCTGGATCCACCACGGTGTCAGACTGAGAAAGTGACTTAGCCCTTTGAAGTTCCAGTTTCTGTACATGTTTTAAAAATGGAACCAAGAGAAAAAAAAAAAACTTGTTTCCCGGGGTTATTAAATTCCTTTCAGCTTTAATGTTCTTGTTTCTGACTCGTATTTTGATGCCTAGTACCAATTAGCTACACAATCTGGCTATCCTAAATATTGCAATAAATTTCATAGGAATTTGTTCTTCTGAGGAAAGTGTCTTTTGGGAAATGTAGACTCTGAAATGAGATTTACAGGAAGGAAGGGGATTCTTAATCAGATAGAATTTTACCATCATCACAGGAAAGAAAAATATTGGAAAAGCACACTAGCTTAGGGGAGATTATTGAGAGAAAGAGCAGAACTCAGAGTGAGTGGGAAACGGTGGGGAAAAGCATCTCTTCCCCGGGAAGCTCTCTTCCCCTCATGTGGACGTGACCTCACTCTCCCACATGCAAACTCCTCTGAGTTCAAGTCATGGCAAGTCTATGCTCCAAGATTTTGAAGAAGGCATCCTTTTCCCTACTCCCAGGTCTTTTTCTTTCTCTCCCTCATTTACTCTTTTTCAGGGTGACCTCGTACAGCCCAGAATATTCTTAGCTCTCACATCTCAGGTCCACTTAAAGTATATCCCATTTAGTGAAGGGTCAAAGATCAATAAGGCAAATGGATTAAAATGTCCTTGGCTTAGTAGAAAGGCCTTCAGCAGGCTGGGAAGTTACTCATGATTATATACAATTCAAAGACTCCCCAGAGAAGAGCGGGGGGATCTACAGAAGCCACTGTCCCTGTCTTTATTTATGCTCAAGGCCACAAGGGCACTTCCCTCATGGGATTGTGGAGAGGAGCCATTTTTTCTCCCATGTGTGTGAAGTTTCCAAAAGATTTTATTTCAGAAAAGATCAAGGCTCTGAAGAAGGCACGGGCTTATTTGGCAGGCAGCCTACTAATTTCATATTCCATATCGCCTTTGCGTTTGGTATTTGGTGGGAAGAATTCTCACAGTTCTAATTTTTATCAAAGAATTTTCAGTAGCATTTTCTGTCCCAAGAAAGTAGCTAGATCCTGAGAGGGGCTCCGATTCTCACTAATCAAAGAAACCAATCAATCAGTAGGGACTTTAAAAGATTAAAGTCTTTTTAATCTTAATTAATGACTTTATTTTTTTTTTAATCACTTAAAGTCCACACAAAAATTGAGCAGAAAGTACAGAGATATCCCATGTATTACCTTCTACCTTCTAGGTTTCCCTATTTTTAGCATCTTATGTTAATGTGGTATACTTGTTACAATTGATCAATGAATGTTGACATATTATTATTAACTAAAGCACATAGTTTCCTGCCCAGTTTAGTCTTTGTGTTGTATAGCTCTATGGATTTCAACAACTGAAATCATGTGTTTTCCATGAGAATATATTGTACATAGAGTTTCCCTGTCCTAAATTCTTCCACACTCCACCTTTTTATCCCTCCCTCCCTGGCCATTTTTATTGTCTCTATAGATTTTCCTTTTCCAGGATTCATATCATTGGAATCATATAGCATGTAGTCTTTTCAAACTGGATTTGTTTTTCTCACTCACCAATATACATTTAAGGTTCTTCCTGGTTTTGTATGGCTTCATAGATTTTTTTTTAATGGCATTTGCTCCTTTTTATTCATTTTCAAGTTTCTCACATAGATCACTTTTTTAAAAAAAAATTATTAAAATACCTGAATAATATCCCATTGCACGAATGTACCTTAGTTTGTTTATCCACACCTAGTGAAACATATCTTGTTTGCTTTCAAATTTTGTCAAGTATGAATAAAGCTACTATAAATATCCATGTACAAGTTTTCATGTGGAAATAAATTTTTAACTCATTTGAGTAAATAACAAAAAGTGTGTTTCATATGATAAGAATATATTTAGTTTTGTAAAAATCTGCTATATTTTCTTCCACAGTGGGCCATACCATTTCCCACCAGCAATTAATAAGAGAGCTTATTTTTTCATATCCTCACCAGCTTTTTTTGGATTTTGCTATTCTAATAGATGTACAGTGGTATCTTGTTGTCATTTTAATTTGTAACTTCCTAACAAAATATGATTCTGAACATCTTTCATATGCTTATTTGTATATTTTTTGGGTGATGTCAATTTAGTCAATTTTCCATTGTTGTGAAAAAGTATCTGAGATAATCAATTTAAAAGGAGGAAAGGTTTATTTTGGCTCATGGTTTCAGAGGTTTCAATTCATGGTCACTTAGCCTTGTTGCTTTGGGTCTGCGGTGGCATCCTACTTCATGACATGAGAGGCATGGCAGAGGAGGCCTGTTTACTTCATGGATGCTGGAAGTCAAAAAAAAAAAAAAGAAAGAAAGAAAGAAAAAAGAAAAGAAAAGGCAAGGAAGAGCTGGGTTTCCAATACTTCCTTCAACCTTCAAGGGCCCACCCCCAATGACCTAACTTTCTTCCACTAGGCTCCAGCTCCTAAGGTTTCCACCACCTCCCAGTAGCTCCACAGGATAGAAACAAGCCATTAACACCTGGCTTTTTGAAGGACATTCCAGACGTCAGATGGCAGATAATCTTTTTTTTAAATAAATTTTTAATTGGGTCTCCTGTTTTTACCTACTTTTAAATTAGGTTATCTGTCTTCTTATTTTTGAGTTTTAAGGGTTCCTTGCATATTTTGGATCACTAGGTTTTAATGAGCTATTTCTGCTATGGCAGGAGTGTGGCAGCCATGAAGCATACTGAGTTTACCTTTCCCTCATTGGGCTCATCATCTGTTTGAGAATCAGGACCCCAAGTGTACACACATGAAACAGAACTGCACAGACAATTGTCACTATAAATGTATTTGTTTCTGCTTATGAGATACAATATGAAGTCCCACTTTAGATTTGTTTTATAGTCTTTAGGTAGAGAAGAGTGTCACTAGTTTCTCATTTGTGCATGTTTCATGGTTTCTAGATGCCCCCAACATGCACGCACATGGATTAGCAAGTCAGGGACTAGTTTTCTGTGTCACTAAAGATAATATTCACTGTAAGGCCATATCCTAAAAATCAGCTTTGGGATAAAAATCTATTTTAGTCTTTCATATAAAGAGTGTTGTATGTGCTATCATAGATTCACTCAGTAGAAGTATATAAGAATTTTTGATTAATGAGAGTTTTTAAAAACTTATTTGTTTTCCTTTTTTGTTTGTTTGTTAGAAAGATACCTTTGAAGAAAGAAATAAAGGTTAGGAAATGTCTACTCTGTAGATCTTACTGGGAGAAATTTTGAAATACTTACCATGATAACATTTGAGATTGGGAAGGAAAAAAATTGGAGATCAGGAAGTATTTTCGGAAAATGTTTCTAACTACCACCCCAGGAAGACAGTGAGGTGAACTTAATGAAAACTCAATGGCAATGCTCTCAAGAGACCTTGCACTTCAGTAACAATGAGGCATTCATTGAATTTGCTTGGCACTTCCCAGTTCACAGAACATTATCGTATCCTCGCTACTTGCAACTCGAGGTAACAACGATTGTGAGTTTTGTTTCACGGATTGGGAAGCAGTCTAAGAAAGGTCAAGGGATTTGGTAAAGAATGCACCACTCATTTCACTGTGAACTACGGTATTTGACCCTAAGATCAAGGTGCTAGAGGGAAACTGTCTGTTTTACGGCCTGGGTTTCCTGTGGATAGCTACTACTCAGCCCTGGGTGATGCTGTCTCAAAACAGGTGAGTTGTATCACAGAGTCATGTTTCAATTTTGATTGTACTTTATAATCATCTCTATTAGACCTACTTGTTTGATTTTGTTTCTTGTATTTATTAGATTGACTTACAAAGTTTTAAAATAAAGGACTTTTAATTTAATATAGCCACTTAAACACAGGGAATATTCATTGTATATATTAAGTGATAATGAAATAATAAATCAGAAATGACTACAATGATTTAGTTTTGCTATGTGAACATATGCTATATATAAGCAATGATATTGGTAGATTATAAAACAAAATGCTAACAGAGATTATGTTTGGATGATAAGATTATGGTAATTTAAAATAATCATTATTTTTTTTCATTTTTACTGTTTTTTCCAGACTTTTCTACAATAGCATATGTTACTTTTGTAATGAGAGTGAATAAAGGCACAATGAATGCCATTACAATGTTACTATAACTTTCTTTTCTGTAACATTCTCCAAATGTCACAGCTCAGAGCCAATATTTCCATCATCCTGCCCTGGTTATTTTATCCTTTGACCAGATGGGGTAGGATGCAAATAACCTATTTAAGGGAAGGTAACAGGTATATAAGTCATGACTAATGAATTTATAGGAAGTCCAACTGCAATTATATAAAGACTTTGCTGGAAGATAACTGAATCTAGGTATTTTAATTTGAAGGATAGATGAAATCATATTATTAGAGATTTATTACTTTTGGTTAGAACTTTGTGTGTCCAGAATTCCTCTTAAACATGCTCCTGGGTTCAACTCTCCTGAACCCCTTTCTGACATTAAAAAATAAAACAAAATTTCTACTAATAAAATTTCTACTAATTTAAATCTTCTAACTCATTCTTTCATTCTCCAGGGATGTTACTGACTTTTTGAGTTTTATCTGGTTGTTAATGTGTTAATACCATCCCACATTCCAACATTATTTGCAATTTATAAGACAAAGAATGAATAACCAAATCCTCACCCCAAATGAAGAATATCTGTTGGCATAAATTTTCTTCATCCTGGCAGAAGGTTTATATCAGGTCTTTCCAGATCATACTATCTAAAAAGAAGGAAGAAAGGTCTCTGGACCTGAGCAAGACATGGCCTTGCTCTGTATTGCCTTAAAGGCACCACTCAGTTGCTAACCAGCCTTGGTGAGGCACACTTGGAAGAAAAGTGCTCAAATGCCTTCCTTTTCTCACAGTTGTATGGGAACCTGGGAGCCAGTACTCTTGTAATTGTCTGGAGCTGTATGATCCTTTGTCCAATTACTCTACACATGAGTCTTAAGAACTTCATTGTTGGAAAGTATGACTCACAGTGGCTTGCTGCATACTATGTTGTTCTGAGGTCCTGTTGCCCAAGGATCTTCATTTCCTTGGGAATATTTAAATTCTAATTGCTTTTTCTGCTACTGGTTCATAAATAGAAAGTCTGTTTACTTTTGCCAGAGCAATTTATTTGTAAACATAGCATGAGTTTCAGTTCTAGAAGAAGAGGAATAAACTCATGAAAGCCAGAAGATAGGTCTAGAATTGGATGAATTCTTGAGTTTCTTTGTTACAACTTCCTCCTCTCCCAGAACAGAATGAGAGACCCTCTTCACCTTAGGGAGGAGAGAAAAGAGAAATCATAACATTTCCATTGACTTGATATTCCAATTATCTTGAACAGAGGCCACAAATAGGTCACATACAAAAGAAAAGTGCGGTCTGGCTTCTTTTGCCTAAGCCTGAAGTGGATCTTCCTGGCAAAACTGCCAGGATCTCAAAGCCATTGCTAGAAGGCATGTGGGTAAAAACGCAAGCAAGGGGCTGCAGTTAAGTCCTGTTTGTGAATTCTGAATGTGAAACTGTGGCATCTTTGTTTTCCTTCTCCTTCGAGTGACTGACTGATCCCTACAATTTAGGCAACACTCAGACTTTCTCCATGGAAGATTCAGTAAGAGAAGGAAAAGATTTTCCTGAAGATGTCATGGATGAATCCATTCTTTGAGGGCTGAATTCAAATCTCACTTCCTTAAGGATGCTTTTTCTATTCCTTAAGCAGATAATTTAATTGTAAATGTTTCAAGTCTTGGCTGGAAAGGACCTAAGTGCTACATATTCATTATCTGTTGCAAAAAAAGTCTTATCTGATAAATATTTGAGTGTACATATGTATTTCCTCCACGAGAGTACAAATTTTTGCAGCGAGAAAAAGGCTTTGGACAGAAATAAAATTGTGTGCTTAATTAAAAACAGATAATATTTCTAATATCTTCAGAGAGTGATATTTTATTTCAGAAACTAGCTGGATCTCACCAGAGACTGCCTGCAAAGAATCTAGGCTACATTTTTGGGGTTTGGAGGATGCTTCATGCCTCAAGTAGAGAAGAAGTGATCCCAGAAGTGTTTCCTCCACCAAGAACAACAAGGGAAGATTTACTAGTGTGCTGCTGGCAGGTTTGAGGACCAGGTTTGTGTATTTTGTGTTGTTTTCTCACTCCAGGAGAGCTGGTCCTGGTGTGTGTGTGTGTGTGTGTGTGTGTGTGTGTGTGTTTGAAGTCTGCACAGGAAGTTGGGGTTATGAAAACCTCACTTCTAGATGATTCCAAGCCCGTGGAAGCACGCTCCAAACTGTTGGTCAAGAGCAATGCAGAATGCTGGCCATTGTGCGAAAAAGTGGGGCAGAAGGGTACATCCTGGTCCAGTGGCAAAGAAGCCAATGGTTTGGTGTCTGGGAGGAAAATGGGAAAGGACATTGTGACAGAGCTATCATTTAGGATTTCCTTAGCTGGCTGTATTTGTCTAACCTCCAAGGTACCTGGCCATGACCCAGTGTGGTTAAGAACATTGCTGTGAGAACCTGGACCACAGTCGCTGTGGAAAAAGCTGTTGCCTCATTGTGGAAAGATTTTTACAATCTGCAATTTGCTGTAGGCCAGCAATCCTCCCACTACCTTGAAAAAAAAATTAAAAATAAATTTAGAGTTTATGCATAATAAAAACTTTATGTGCCATAAAAATTGTTTCTGTGGGACTGCGCTCAGATCCCTGCCTGAGCCACATCTTCTGGAGAGCTTGTGTTTGGTGATATGTTGATTTAATTTTCCAATCCACGCCAAATGAAATAAATACCCCTATTTTTAATCTGGTAACATAGAGTGAATGGCCAAAAGAATTTGTGATCAAAGGTTGGACTTCTTCAGGAACTTAAGGTTAAATGATGTCCTTTACCCATATTATAGCCTCAGACTAGTTGACGAAGACAATCGGGCATAGGTTTAACATGGAGACACGTAGTAAAGGAACATGAAAACAAACAATTCTAACTATGCCCAGCTAGTAATGCATTGGCTTCAGTTGCATATACTTTCATTTGAAATGGGTCAGTGGAATTCAAAATGTTCCATTTGCAGCATTTTAGTTTGTTGGGATTATACTGACCAAAATTAATTGAATTTGGCTCACCCAACAAGAACAACTTAATATTTACTCAGTTTTTAACCTTTCCTAGAGAAACTCTTCTGAGTCAATTCAAGTCAGATAAGATATATAGTGTTCACAAAAGAGCTACTCATATTGCTGGATGCCTGATCCAGAACTCTGCCAAACTCTCATTCCAGAGAGAAGCAAAGCTCATTGCTTTTGAAGCTGGCTGTGTCCACTTCATATGCACCCTCTATCAAGGCCCAGATCTTGGATGCAGGTTTAGTTAATCTCACTAGCATGGTTGCCAATCATTACCTTATTAATTTGCAGATATCTTCTCGTCTTTGATGTCACTGTCTTTGTTTTTATGTAGGCATATACATACCCTGCCATTACTCACTTCCAGAAACTTCTTCAACTTTCATCATCAACAGGAGCTGTCAACCACAGACTGGTCTTTTTTAAAAAAAAAAAAAATAGAGGGAAATAAATTTTAAGCACAAGTGAATTGCTGCTGCTTCCTTAAGGAATTTGGACCAGTTCTTCAGATATTGCATCTTTGAGGAAAACTTAACATAGAAATGTTAAGAACAATCTTTGTATTTCTAAATTGAAGGATTTAAATTCTGAATAAAAAGATCTTTACACATTAAACTGAGTATGATACTAAGACTTCAGAGAACTTAGAAATGTTCACAGCAGGGACAAACAGCATATGTTTGAGTCACGGTCCTTGCCCAATGTGTTCAGGCTAGATCTTATTTTCTTTTAAAAATTACAACACCAAATAAGTCTAGCTTAGGTGTACTTTCTTACTTTATATAAGTCATTTAATTTTTAAAAACTCCAGTATACTGAAGATGAATGCTACAATAATAATTGCAATGGTCTAATTTATTTGCAATGTACATATTACTGTAGATAAGAATATGCTAATACCTCTAATTTGCATAACTGTAGAAGAGTCTAATTGCAGTGTCAGAAGCAGGTATCTAAACCATCAATGTTTGGGTATTTTAGTGACTAGAGCCAACATTTTCTCATTTCCCTTAAATGGGACCATCTCTTGTTATAAAAATTTGTCTACCTATATATTCACATCATACATACATGCAGAATCATTATAAATGCTTAAAGTGTCCAATTTGTTTTTGTGCTAGTACTATTTTATACTTAAGTCCTCAGAAAATATCAGCATTACAACATAAGTTCCTTTGGCATCTTGAAAGTTGGGGTAAGAAAGACAAGGCATCCCATAAGAAAGATAAAAAATAAATAATATTTCCAAAGAAGACATCCAGATTCAAACTAAAAAAAACTTTCAAAAGCTCTCTAACTGGATTGCTTTTAAAGCAATACCCCCAATATGTATGAAACAAATAGAAGTATCTTCGTTTGCAATTACACTCAGAAATCTTCGTTTGCAATTATACTCAGAAGATTTAAGTAGACTCTTTAATACTACCACTTCCTCTAAAATACTATTTTTCTAATTAAACTGAACAATTGTGTGGGCAGATTAAAAAAAGAAGTTAATATGGGAATTTTCAAACATGCATGAAAGCTTATAAAATAATATAATCAATCTCCACTTGCCCATCAGAGGACAGGCCATTCAAAAAAAAAAAGTGTAAGAAAGGTATGTGACTTACACTATCTACTCCTTCTTTTCTAAATTTATATTTAATAATGCAACATACCCTGGAAAAGAATTCTTGGGTATATTGGAAGAGGGATGTTGACTTCAAATTTGGTATAAGAAAAGGACCAAATTAGGGGAAAGGATTGGTGTATTGGTTGTTTCATTCATTTAACCAGAATTTAATCAGAATACCAGTGCATGCCAGGTACTCTCAGACACTGCAGGCAAATACATTCACATATCTTAGGTTCTAGCCTTTCAGAAGCTGCCAATCTAGTCAGAGAGGAAAACTAGCCTCCATGTCTGATCTCCTCTTTATAGGAACAGGATAGGCTAGAATGGAAATGGCAGAGCTGTTTTGGATAAGATGAGAAGCACAAAAGCCTAATCTTAAATAACCATATCACAGTAATAAAAAAAATTCCTTTAAAAACCACTACAGATCAGTGAGTAAAATAAAGAACCAGCTGTAGCCCAGTGGATGGTTGATGTGGGTAACAGAATTTCTGCCAAGTCCAGCCATAAAGAACCTATATAGATTGGACTAAAGTTCATGAAATGGCAAAGAGAACTGATAATGACAAGACCTGAGGGGTACTGTTGCAACCCAGAGAGTAAAAGCACAGGAGAGTCTTGTTTTCTTGTGTGTGTGTGTGTGTGTGTGTGTATGTGTGTGTGTGTGTGTTTTAAACCAACCTTCTGATGATATATTCTTCTGAGACACATTGTAGGAAAAAAAATGTGTGTGGCTTTTTCTTTTCTTTCTTCTTCTTTTTGGTGGTGATAGGGATTGAACGCAGAGCTCATGCATGTTAGGCAAGTGCTCTGCTTCTAAGCTACATTCCCAGCTTCTGTGTGTATTGTTATTAAGAAAATCTTATTTCCATTTTCAAGTATTTACCAAAGGAAGTGTTCTCTAGCTGCTGAATAAATGATAAACAACTTGCAAAATTTACTATAAGTAATTTGTTTAAGAAGATCTTATTTCATGTTGGGGCAAATATAGGGGGATGGAAAGAAAAAAAATGCTCAAAGGAAATAGAGGATGTAGGCTGGGATGGATAAGTAAATAAAGCCTCACCATTTATTAGAAAGGCAACCAGCCACACAGAGTGGTTAAAACCATAAACTTGGAAGTTTAAATACCTGGGTTCAAATTCTGCCTCTTCCATTAATTATGTATTGAGCAAATTACTTGAGTTCTTTTTGCCTCAACTTTCTCATCTGTAAATACAGGGTAATAATAGTTCTAGCCTGCAATGAGTTCTCAGATAGGATTATCCAAAACACTCAGGAGGGTAACTGTCATGTAGTCAGAACCACATACTGTTTGCTATTTATTAGTTCACTTTCTTTTCCTAGTTTCTCTTACAAACTGTAATTTGATGCAGCCTTAGCCTAGAGTCTTGCATGTGTGTTTATATTGACAAACATCTAGATTACAAAATTTTATCATGTTTTTCTTAGAAAGTCCTGGTTAACTGATCAGATAATGCCTCTGGCTTCTGGTTCCTGCAATTCTCTAATTGTATCATGTAAAATAGAGGGGCAGGGGCAGAGAGGGAGAGAGAGAAGGAGAGAGAGAATAACCAGATCTTCTGAAGCTTAGGAAGCAAAACTAAGGCAGAAATAGAAACCACAAGTATGGGCATATTCAAACCAGAATAATATAGGAGACTAGCAGGAAAGAATATTATGTCCCATTGTGGTTTATCCACAAATTGGAGTGCTAGGCCAATCCTGGGGATTCTGAGACTGTTTTCAAACTATAAATTCCTGTGTTTTAGAAGAGCCAAATGACAGACAGACTGGCTTCCTAAGATAATGATTCTGGGTCAGAGAGATGTTGGAGCAGGGTTATTTTTCTGTTTTGTTGGATACTGTGATGATCAACTGCCACAAGTTCTAGAAATGGATCTCAGTTTTCCTTCTGGGCAAAACCCCACCTTCTTACCATTTAAGGGTATCATCCATTCCCTTTTATTTTATTCTGGTGATTGAAAGAGTGTCTACTTCAAGTGGGCCTGAAGATGGTGACTGAATGAGGCAGTAGGGTGCTTCCACAGAAGCTGCTAGCAGACCCCTCCCCTGCAGCTGCTCCCTACCCAACCCCACCTGGACAGTTGGGAATGTAGGCAGTGATGACACTTCATGGATGCCTTTGTTAGCCATCCTTCTAAGAAAGGACTGGCCTGACATTCTGAAATTGAATGAACAAGTGTGTTGTGAGCAGAGGAAGGGGCACCGACAAACAGTGCATTGCCCAGATTGTCTTAAGGGAGTTGAAAATTCCACTAAAGAGCAATTCAATTCTCTAGGTAAGCATTGCCTTATCTTAGTAGTTCTCTGTTGTAAAGCAGTTAGCTATCCTGAATTCACACAGCCTGGGGGATCCCAAAATGTGAAGACAAACCACCACTATTTTATTACCTAGATTTCCTCTAAGAAATCTAGGTAACGAAATAGTGTAGAGAGAAGGTTTAGTCGAAAGGAAGAAAGAGAGAAGGTGATGGGAACAAGAAGGACCATTTGCTTCCCAGACAATGTAGTTTAAGGAAAAGCAGGATTTAGATATGAATAAGTGTGTGGGCTTTCATTTGTAACTTCTCTGGGACTCTGTTGCTTCATGTGCAAAACAAGGACAATAATGCATGTGTCAGTGTTGTTGAGGGGAAGTGGTGAACATAATGTGAAGTGTTCAAGAATTTCCCACTGATGTATTTCTAACAGGTGAGAAGAATCAATGTGTGTCTGGGTGATCTAAAGGATCCATGGCGGCGTACTCACTGCAGACAAAGCACCAAGATCTTTCACGAAGTAAAATATCTTGGAAAATTGGAGCTTTATTGTAAAAATGTATGGCCGGTTTGTATTCTACTGAAAATCTGTTTGTTTTTAAGATAAAAATAATATGAAAAATCCTTCCTCCCAAATCTTTAAATAAAAATTTGCCCAGACACAATTAACTATGCTTATCCTATAGCTTTGTAGATCCCTTGGGGCTCCTTGTCATAAGAATCATGCACATAATGTGTACAAAGGCTCTGGTACAACACAGCAGGATAGGTGCCAATTATTATTACAAATGTTATTACTTTTGTAAATCATATTATTTGAAGGCTTTACTTAGGGATGGACCTAGTGAGATCCTGTACATTTTCATCATGAACTCTGATAAATTGATTTTGTCTTTGATGGATACATTGGATCTAAGTTTCAACTCATTTACATCTCTGGTATCATGTTTATCTATTTAACTGAGATTAGTAATTGTTGTGTGTGGTTTTCTTGTTAAGATATAAATCCTACAGTGACTATTCATCTCTTCCTTCACTCACTCAATCAATCACTCACTCAGTCAAAATTTACCAAGTATCTATCTCAATAAGGCCATGTTGTAGCACTATTAAAGATAAAACTAAAGGATGAAGTTCTTGTCACCTAAGAACTCATCATTCAAGACCTCACAGGGACAGGGTTTCAGAGAGAAGCAAGCTATCATAACACCAAAACTAATCAATTGACCATTTGTAAAATAAACCGACCTACTTCAACATTCTTCTCTGTGTTTAACTGCAACATTTACCTTCACTCATGATCTCAATGTAAGTGTTTCATAGTTTCTTTCTTTGTAGACCAATTGATATTGTAAAAAAGCTGAAAATATAACGAGAAAACAATGGAAAAAATCAATAATATAAGTTTTAAAAATATAAAGTATTTGATGATGTGAATGAAATTGATGTTGGAGATATATTCAATCAGATAAAGAGCTATTGACAAGTTAGAATCTGGCAGAGTTTTATGTCAATAAAGGTGACAGTGTGATGGGGCTTCTAAGGAGAAAGCAGCTCATGGGAAAATTGGTAAGATAACAACTGTTTGGCTCTTATCAGTCTTCTCTTTAACCAAAGTCATTGCATCATGTTTAGGCTTATGCAGATAGTTAGTCTCACACCAACCCCCCCCCACACACATATGTATAGTTTTTAACATTTAGTTCAACCCAAATTTGAAGAGAAACAGTTAGATATTTTTAGTGATCCCAGCATTTGTGTTTTTCGAACATTTAGTGAATGCTATGATGTTCAGTGACTGTAAGCAAACCTCCCTACTATCTCTCTCTCTCTCTCTCTCTCTTTCTCTATCTATCTATCTATCTATCATCTATCTATCTATTTCTGGCTAAAGTCATGTTTTCTGTAATCTATATTCACATATTTGGTATTTATTCAATCTTATTATATACTGGGAACTAGGGAGGCAAACCAAAAAGATAAGTTCCCCACCCTGCAAGGGCTAAAAGGCCGATAGGAGAGACACTCAGAAAGTAATGACATGGAGCATTATGCTGGATATAGTGAACTATATTTTTTAATGTACTGAGTTTATCTTTTTAGGGAAAGTGTCAGATAGTTGAGAGGAATTGGGTTTTTTTTTGCTTTAAACCATTTTAGTAACTTGCAAGTTACTTTTGAAAAATGCTTGCATATTAAATTTGAGTCCAGCAACACTTCTCCTGTCCTTTGTTTTTCTTCCAAGGTGAATTCCTCCCCTCCACTTCCCCTGTGGAGAGGTAGCAGTGAGAGGCAGGAGGAGTGGGCAGCTGATGTTTCAATTGCTTTTTGCATTGCCCACTCCATTCGGGGAGTTATGCAACCCGGGGGAAATGCATTTTCCACTCGTGAGGTCCTTTGATCATTTTTGCTCTTACATAACTCCGTAACAGCTGGAGCTGTAAACTTTAAAATTGGCAGGAGCATAGTTCATATTGCGAAAGGAAGTTCAACCCAAATTTGAAGAGAAACAGCTAGATATTTTTAGTGATCCCAGCATTTGTGTTTTTTAATATTTAGTGAGTGCTAGTGATGTTCGGGGGACTGTAAGCAAACCTCCCTACCCAGAGATGTCACCATCTTACTGAGACAGCTACCCACAGGTCTGGTTTAGGAGAATGAGAACTTCAATCTTTCTTTTCATCGTCAATCTCTGGCTTGTGGCAGCTCCTCTGTGTCCAGATGATTAAGAAATTCTCATTCTAATGTGTATTCACCAAGAAATCCACACCAATCTACTGAGTCCTCCTCTGGGAACCCCAAGATCCTCACTGGTTTACTTGGGAAAATATGTCTCTTCTTAACAATATCACTCTCTTCACCTACCTTTCAAAAGATAGCCTGCATGCATTTTTGAAAATACTTTTCCTTCATGGTTTCTGTATCTCTCTTCTAGCTACTACTTCCGCCTATTTTTCTTTTTCTTCTTCCTTCTCATTCCCCTTCTTTCTCCTGCTCCATCTTCTTTTTCTTCTTTTTCCTTTTAAAAATTTCTTGAGTTTTGAACTCGAGCTGCTTATTCATTAAAATGGAAATAAATCACTTCAAAACCACCTGCTTTGTTGCCTCAACCTCTGCATCACAATGAAAAAGAGTAAACTCAATTAAAATCCACATATTCAGCCTCAATAGCTTCTTGACTGCTGTGTTAACACCTACATAATGTCAACACCAAATGTAGGAATCAATTTGTAAAACAGTTATTTTAGAGTTATAATTTGCTCAAATAAAACTAAAGAAAGGCAAATTGTGTTTATCCTAGTGAAGCAAACTGCTGGCATCACAGATACTGGATAACCAATTCATTTATTTCGAGTTCAGAAGTAGCAAGAAATCTAGGCATCTCTCTCTCTCTCTCTCTCTCTCTCTCTCTCTCTCTCTCTTATCCTTTCTTCTTCACCAAAGAAGTGTGGATGTGTGGAATGATGCTGCCTGAAGTAATTGTTGACTTCAGAGGGATTCCAAATCTGCCTCTCTAGGGGAGGCAGGTCACAGGTGAGAAAGGTGACACATGTCACTTTGATAAATTTTGATCTGGTTGCTGCCACTTCAAGAGACTCCTCTCTTAGGTACTCCAGGATGGCTGGTCTGTTTAGAGTGATGTTTCATTCAATGTCCATAGGATTTAAGGATCCATGAGTGCTTCATTGGAGAAGTGCCACCTGAGTCTCTGCAGCAGGAAGCTGCCTTTGTTTCAACTTTTCTTCCTCAGCTTTGCCAGCCACCATTTGGAATTCTACTACTGTGTAAACACAGAAGAGAGGGGGCCAATTCAATAGCAGTGAGATCTCACATCCTATTCCTTTCCCGAGACACATTCAAACTGCCTCTCCTTTGTTTAGCAGAAGTCAATAGATCTTCTTCTCATGCTCTTCCTCCCTGCTCTGCTCTTAGTTGCCCTCCTTATACCAAAGAAGACATTTGGCATTTGTTTTTTAGGGATTGGCTGGCTTCACTTAGCATGAGAAGATCACCATTAAACAGGGAGGAGAGGTGGAAGGGAAAGGGAGAGAGAAGGGAAATTGCATGGTAATGGAAGGAGACCCTCATTGTTATACAAAATTACATATAAGAAGAAGTGAGGGGAAAGGGGGAAAAAAACAAGAGAGAGAAATGAATTACAGTAGAGGGGGTAGAGAGAGAAGATAGGAGGGGAGGGGAGGGGAGGGGAGGGGCGATAGTAGAGGATTGGAAAGGCAGCAGAATACAACATACACTAGCATGTCAGTATGTAAAAAAGTGGATGTGTAACCGATGTGATTCTGCAATCTGTATACGGGGTAAAAATGGGAGTTCATAATCCACTTGAATCAAATGTATGAAATATGATATGTCAAGAGCTTTGTAATGTTTTGAACAACTAATAATAAAAAAAAGAAAAAAAAAAAAAGAAAAGCCAATAGATTCTTAAGTAGGTCTTGTTTTGCCTGCTGCCTTGCCCAGTGCCTTCCTATCTTCTTCCCCTTCTGGTATTGCATTTGTATCTTGGCCTGTTGGAACTGCTTTTTCTGACTGTAGAATGGTGCTTTGAGGCCTGCTCCCATCTAATTTAGCAAGTGGAAGCTGTTTATGAGAGGAATGTCTGAGGCACGGAAGGCCCTCAGAGAACACTGTGTCTTCTAAGTACTGTGTTTGGGTCACTCTGGTGTCCTTCCAGGACTGGGTCAGTCTTCTGGAAGCATCTTGAGAGAATTTGCAGAAAGGAAGAGATATTGCTTCTCAGGCAGATAATGAACTATTTTTTTTTGTTTGTTTTTAGTTTTTGAAGAATTTTGATATAAAGAAAAGAGAAGAGGAACAGAGAGAAGTCTTTTTGTTGTTATTGTTTTTAAATCCAAATGATATTTATGTTGCTTACTCTGGTGGCTATGAATTGATCATTTCTTTAATGGTGGAAGAGGTAATGATGATTTTGGCCATTTTTTTTTTTCACAGAGATATGTTGCTGGACTAAGAATAGGTATGTCAGCCAGGCATAGCTTAGGGGTAGTAAAATAGTTCATAGGTCAAGGAATAAACTCTTTAGGAAGTTCAAGCTGAATTACTGCTAAATATGAGCAGTAAATATGGCAATAATGGCTACAAAATTATGGTGCTTGTCACTTTGTAGCATGTGATGTGGATTTGGGAGACCATGATTGTCATTGCTGGCCAGCAGGTTGCATGGAAATGCAAGACATCTATTTGGCCATTCTCTTCCTAACCTAGCTATGAATACAGAAATGAGGTGCTGTCTCAGAAAATGTGCTGACATTGTTAGAAGTTCATATGTGACCATGCAACTTTTTTTCAACAGCAGCACTTTTGGCCAAAGCAATAAAGAATCCATATGTTAAAAAGGAAAGGTGTGGGCTGGGATTGTGGCTCAGTGGCAGAGTGCTTGCTTCGCATGTGTGAGGCACTGGGTTCAATCCTCAGCACCACATAAAAATAAATAAATAAATAGATAGATAGATAAAAGTATTGTGTCCATCTACAA